CCATAAAACATTCAGTAGATTTATTTTAATCAATGACAAGCCCCTAGAATTAACCGAACACAAGGACAATCTCCTTGAAACTGTTGTATCTGAATATCATACCCAAATGATTGACCCCAAACTGCATCTCAAATCCATCCACTGTTGTGCCGTAAGGACACATAGCCACGCCTGCATTGTTGATCAGGTAGTGAAGAGCCTTCTCAGCTGGAAAACAAAATAAATGTTTCCTTGCATTACACTCTTCATGACTATATACAGTGTATTCTGGCATGTGTGTGTGTGTGTGTGCGTGTGTGTGCGCACGTGCCACTCACTGTTGTAGATATTCTCAGCAAACTGGCAGATCGATTTGGTGTCAGTCAGATCCAGTTGCCTGGCGACTACCTTGGCTCCCTTCACCTCCCTCATGATGTCACGAGCAGCCTGCTCTCCTTTCGCCATGTCTCTGCATGCCAAAATCACCCGTGCACCTACGGAGATTAATACCTCTTAATGGTGACTGTGTGCCTGCGTGTGCGTTCATGTTGAAATTTGAGCATGTTAAGGTGGTGTTGACCTTACTTTTAAACATCCATCTTTGTCTCAGTGTTTATATATCAACAGATACAGTATGGCAGGCATTAGCTCCAGTCCTCTGCTCTGGTCTCATATGTTTTCAGTTGTATTTTATCCAAACCAGTATTGGTTCATGTGCTCGTGAGTATTATCATTTAATGTGGCATTTTAATACTTGAGCCACCTCATTATATTTGTTATTGTTGGCTGAGCTTGTAAGGCTTTAAACATTTTCCACACAGGCACTTTGAGTCACACAGCAAGACAGAATAATACAAAGAGCCTGTAAGTCATCGTGGTACCCATTTGTCTTTAAATGTGCGGTTCTGTTTGCTTGCCTCTGCCGGCCAAGTCTTTTGCTGTCTCTTTGCCTATCCCAACGTTGGCTCCGGTTATTATCACTGTCTTCCCTTCTAGACGTACATCTGAAGACCACTTGGGGGCAAACAGAGACCTGATGGATGAGGCATGAAGGTAGAAATGATTAGAGAGATATTAAGGCACCAAACATGATGTGGAAATCCAGTTTTTACAGTCCACAGAATGAAAAACACTTTGTAAGACAAGTAAAGGGAATAACTCATTGTTTATGTGACATGTTTGTTTAAACTTACAGCAGCTAAATTACAAGGTGGGTGAGGTTTACCACCTAAGGCAAAACAGTGCCGGATAAAAATGAAGTTAAAAGTCACAGGCTTCAAGCTCACTCAGCAGCTTCACTTGACATTTCAGAGTCTGCCTGAAATGACCTGAAGCAACAATCTCCACCCATCATGTACTAAAATCAGGAAAGATGAAAGTAATTTGTCAATACATATTCTTTTTTTCTATTTAACTTGATATCCTGCATGAAAAGTCTCTTACCTGACTGCTTGCATCTTTGCTGTTGCTGATATAAACTGTAATATCCCTCTAGTAGTTTGAGTGGCTCCTTATTCCAACTGTCGTCTCAAGACTGAGGTCCAAAGATGTGAAAGAGAGGAAAAAAGTGACGGGCTTATTTTCCCTTTTTAATCATTCAGTGCAAATGCAAATAAGAAGTACGTACAAATCCCCCTTTGTTAAAAGTTGGTTAACGTAACTAATCAATTTATCCTGATTTTGAAGAGTTCCTAGTCAATAATCACATGAGACGTACTGCTTTACTTCAATAAGCCCAAATGACAGAGAAGTATTTGTGTATTTAGTTACAGTTTTACGCTTGCAATTCCTAAACTGAACTTTGACTCAGCACAACTTTTTCTCAACCTCTCATTCTTTACTGTGCCACACAGAAAAAAAATCCACATTACGCATAACAACATCACAGATCTGTCTTGTGCGCATTCTTATATAAATTACCACATCAGACAGGCTCAGGGCCTGAAGTGTCAGGGGCCCCACTGGCCTTCATTTGCAAAATGTCACTGAAATTACTGACCAAAAGAGACTCAAAATTACCACAAAGAGATGCAAAGAAACTGCAAAGAGACACAAAATAACTCCAAAAATGGACAGAACAAAGAGGCACAAAATGAGCCAAAAAGACCAAGTCGGTCTCACTCCGAAGTCGTTGAAACCTGGCCCTGAGGGAACGACTTGCTGCGTCAGACACTGACGAAAGAGTTGTCCTTTATAAGACATGAGACGCAGCTGGTTGTGTCATAGTTTAACAGTGCTCGGTGGCATCAGGGAGAAACGTGGTGGGAGAAGAATGAAAGTTAAGGCGCAGAAAGTCTGAGTAGGTCGGGTGGGATGGGTGGTGGATAGGTCCAACACCTACATGCTTTTGTTGCCTAAACCCAATCACGTGTGTTTGTTGTTGAAGGAAAAAAAATGTCATTTCGCTGTGTTGTACTGACGTAGTGTGTTTATTTTGAAAGAGACTGTATGTAAACGGTAAATTTCCTGTTAAAACAAGTGTATTTTGAAAGAAGACAATGCATGTAACAGGCAGAACTTGACACGGTGTCGGAGAACGTCAACAACCAACACACCCAGGGTACCTTGCATGTCGTATCAGGACATGGAAGGTCCATGACCAAATATCAATATGTGATGGGGTTGAAGTGAGAATGTGTTGGACACAAAACCACAAAAAAAGATGCATAAAGAAACTAAATACTAAAGAAAGACGCAAAACAATAACAAAAAAAGAGGCAAAACCACCACAGAAGCCCTTTTTAAATAGGAATTGTGCAAATCTGCAGGAAAGCCCAATCAGTCTTTTTTCAGCATTGGCAGGATAAAAACAAAATCGGGGAGTGCAGCAAAATGCCGCCTGTCTACTTTTGTATTTACAGAATACGCCTTTTTCGGGGCAATGGGGGGCGTGAGCAAAACGTGTAGCTCAGCGTGTGACGTAAACAGTGACGTGGGAGGGAAGCCGCAGCTGGTCAGTCATTCAGCGATTCTCTCATAAGTCGGCGCGTTCTTCATCGTCCCCGTCATCTGACGGTTAATGGCCTCTTCGTTTGCGAGGACAAGGAGGGCGCGCAATTCCTTGTCTCCCCAGTTGCTCATCTTTACAGTGTCTGTCAGGTTTGTGTTTCCCTCTTGCTACTAGCTGCTCGCTAATTCCTGTTATCGGCTGTTTCCTGTTTATCCACCGCCAGTGGCTCGCACGTGTGGCGTCATCAACAGCCCCTCCTGTTGTTGAAGGCCACCTTGGTCTGTTTAAACTAAAAGGGTTCTGCCAATATGACTACCCTATGAGGCGGAAAATTGGGCACCTTGGATCAACTCGCCAATCCGGCTCTGTGTGTCTAAACGCTCACAGCTTGCCGGCAAAACGGCCCAACATTTGTGGAAAATTTGGCAGTGTAAAAGGGGCTTAAGTCTGTGAGTCTTGCTCCTGTGCAGGAGAGGTGGTGGGGGCCTCTTGCATATCTGTACCCAGGGCCCCCTTAGCTCATAATCCGCCCATGCTACGCATTGTATGGTTATGTCTGCTGGTCCACGTGTTGCTAAGTGGAATTACTTTAAACACTTCAGTTGAACCTTTTAAGCAATTCACCGTATTTGTGAGCTCCTCATATGTCCTGCGTGCAAAACCTGTGAAGTAACAAGAAACTGCATCTGCTGAAAAAAAATTAACATTGCAGAAACAGAACTAATCCTCACTGCAGGTGAAACTAAAAACCTGGATCCACAGGTGAGCCGACTGTAATTTCAGCATTTCATCACTGTGGATTTTCTGGTGCTTTCCGCAGGAAGGTTGGAGTTATCACCTGGCTTTCGGTGAGACTGTTATCCTAATTGCTGATTGGGGTGAACATGACAGTCAGTTGATCCTTGAAAGTGCTGCAGTGTCAGTGCTAAACCTGAAGCATTACTCAAAAGTGGGTTTCCCCTCTGCTTCTTAGGGATCCTCTACTTCTTTTATTTCATTAGCGTTTAAAAAGTGTGTGTGGTGGTGGTGAAGATAAGATCATCTTCGCTAATCCCACACTGGGGAAGTTCAGTCGTTAAAGCAGCTCGATCAAAAGCAAAGGAGGAAGGGAAAAAATGGTTGTATTCATGTGTTAATGAGACTACAGACGAGATCTAGTCAATGTAGGACCTGCTTATAAAAATGTGACAAACCGAGCCATGCACTACTTTTTAAAATCAGAATCTTCATATTTCTTTGAGATTACTTGTCCTTCTGTTGTCCTACCACACAGCTGCCACCAGGGGTCAGACTGTAGCAGCATGCAGTAGGTTGTGGACATCTCTCCACTCAAATGAGGGACTGTTTTCTCACACATGGAAGGCTGAAAAAAAAAAAAAGCTGAAATCATTTAGATCTACAGTCAGGTTCTGTGTTATCCAGGCAGCCAGGTCTCATGTAAACCATGTGAAAGCTAGTCATAACTTCCTGTTTTTCCAAACAACCATAAAATAAGCCGAGACAAGATGCGCACTTACACACACGCACACACATATATAAACATACTCCTGCTGACCCAAACCAGGCCTAAAAGAGTGCTGCCAGCTCCTCTCATGTGGTCTCTCTGTGACGCTAGCTGGTCTGACTGCTCGATGCGTTTTTCCTCACAGCTGCTCGCCATCCACGGGCCTGATGAAAGGCTGCCTGTCTGTCTGTCTGTCAACACGGGGACAAAGACAGAGAAGGCCTCACCACATGTGTAATTAGCGTTGCTTCATGAAGATTATAGATCATCTTGAGGAGATAAATGGCTCGCTCATTGTAATTTGTCGATCCCAGAATAGGAAAGTTGACAGAGAGAAACCACAGAATGTAGGATAGCAGCCATCCCTGGGAGGATTAGATGCAAAACATATTTAATTTCAATCAAAATATTCTTTCAGTTATTCATTGCAATAGGTTGGATTGATATGTACATAATTATTGCGAGACATATGGTGAAGTTGCGACGCCTACAGTGTGTGTTGTGCCTGCTGTTAATGGCTCCACTTAACACATTCAGCTCACATCAAATGACAGGACAAAGAGAGTATTCATTCTTGTTCCACAAATGCTTCTTTTGAAATATATACAAACATTGATCACATATGCATCCTCTGAAATATTACATATACAATCTACTTTGTGAAATTAATTAAAATATAAACAGGCTGACATTTTTACTTTTCTTCATTAAGGCTTGTACATTTAAACATAATGAAACAAAACAAACCATTAATAAAATAGCTTATCAAATGCATAGCATTTTTTTCTTACACACAAACTGCACTTCTGGTGCAATGAGAAGAGAATAAAAAAAAGTCTACATATGGGATAAACAAGCGTCGTACCAAAACTGGATGTGTCTCTTTACTGTAAATTAGCTTTTGTTAAACCCTGCAAACCAAAACAAAACAAAAAAACAGAAAGACAAAAATTCACTCAGTGAAATCCCAGATCTTAATGTAGCTTGTCGATTGAATTTTCTGCCGTTCAAATATTTACTTTCATGGCATGATTTTGTGAGAGCAAACACAATCATTTCCACATGGTGGATATTTTGTTATGCAAGGAAACTCTTGAAATCATCCAAATGTCAAATTTAGAACAGTTAAAAACAGGAGGAGTCTCCGGATTTTAACCTGGGCTTTTGAATGGCATGAAAAAATGTACTAACTCTCCTGTAGCAAGACCCAGCTGAAATTTCCATTCAACAATAAAGACATGACGTTCTTCCAGTCTGAACTGCAGTTCCACATCCAATTCCCTACAAAATTCCCCATCATTGTCTGGACTGGAGGGAGTTTCCGTTTGAAAGAGCATGCAGTCTTCCAATGGAAAATGAAAAAGGGCACTTTGGAGATGCCTGAAGCAAGATTCAGTGACTAATGTGTGAAAATAGACAAGTTATAGAAGTTTACATTCCAAGCAAATGATGTAGGGATTGATCAATAGCTTCACACCCCTAAGAGTTGCTCTCTGAAAGCCTCCCTGTCCTTGTTCTTGTACAGAAAGCTGGTATGGCAGACAAATGGTGTTTTATAATTAACTTATTTTTATAATATAACTGGGAGCTTTGATATATAAAATAAAGTAACCAACAGAAATGATCAGAAGTCATTTTTGCAATGTCTGCTGGCTACAGAGATGATCACTGTCCTGACAAACAAACAGCCGCCGGTCACTTTTCACTTCCCGGGCGGCCACTCCTCCATCACTTCTTGCACTGGCAGTGTCTCGTCTTGCAAGGTGCTTTGCGAAATGCAGTCCCCTTGCGACCTCAGGCTGCTCTGGAAAAACGGGGCCGTTTCATTGGCCTCTTCCTGGACGGGGCTCCCGAAGGCATCGTCCTGGCCCGTGCCGTCGCTGCCGAGCGACGTCTGGCTGACGTAGACGACGATGACGTCCCCGCTGAAGTTCATCACCTGTCCGCTGGAGATGAAGGTGGTGTTGTTGTTCCCAGACACCTGACCTGGATGGAAGAATGTGGGAGGGAGGAAAAGAAGAGATTGTGAGAAGTAGAAGACACAGAAAGATGTAGGCACAAGCAGGGGCATAGCACAAAACTCCTCCCTGCATCCACAGCCAATCATTAGCCCTTTTTAAACAGGAATTGTACAAATCTGCAGGAAAGAGCAATCAGTCTTTTTTCAGCATTGGCAGTATATAAACAAAATCGGGGAGTGCAGCAAAATGCCGCCTACCTACTTTTGTTCATGCAGAATGCGCCTTTTTCGGGGCAATGGGGGGCGTGAGCAAGTAACAAAACATGTAGCTCAGCATGTGACGAGGGAGGGAAGCCGCAGCTGGTCAGTCCTTCTGCAATTCTCTCGTAAATCGGCCCGTTCTTCACCGTCCCCGTCATCTGACGGTTAATGGCCTCTTCGTTGGCGAGGACAAGGAGGGCGCACAATTCCTTGTCTCCCCAGTTGCTCATCTTTACAGTGTCTGTCAGGTTTGCGTTTCCCTCTTGCTACTAGCTGCTCGCTAATTCCTGCTATCAGCTGTTTCCTGCTTATCCACCGCCAGTGGGTCGCACGTGTGGCGTCATCAACAGCCCCTCCCATTGCGGAAGGCCGCCTCGGTCTGTTTAAACTAAAAGGGTTCCACCAATATGACTACCCTATGAGGCGGAAAATTGGGCACCTTGGATCAACTCGCCAATCTGGCTTTGTGTGTCTAAATGCTCGCAGCGTGCCGGCAAAATGGCCCAACATTCGCGGAAAATCTGGCAGTGTAAAATGGGCTATTCTGGTATCTTTATGGGCCCTCCTCTCATAAGGGCCCCGCGTACTCAGTGGACACGTGAGTAGTAAAAGAAATGGGATTTATTTACGCCTAGCATTTGGCTGATACATATATTTTTTAAAACGTAAAATACCTACACTTTTGGCCACAAGTGAGCTAGTGTGACAAAAGCTTCATGACACAACACCTCCCACTCTAACTGGTGAAGAAATCCACAAGCGCTATTGGGAAATGTGTAGCAACACTGTATGTATATATATGGTACGGTTGTGTAAGACACTGCCTTCAAATTCCCCCCCGACACACAGGCAGATAGAGCCTCCCCTAATCATGATGTCAGTGAGGAAGGGACTACATCTTGGCTAACCTCGGATGACAAATGGACAGTGGGTGTAATGACCATGCAGGACGACCACAGGGAGGCCGCAGCTACATAGACCGCCATATCATATCCTTTCTGCCTTATTTGTTTCAGAGTGTCCAGCACTTTTTCGCGTGAGAAACTCAAGACCTCTGAAAACAAGTCATTTGTCAAGGTTTTAGGGTTTTACAGACACGGCTGAATAAATGCAACAAAAAAAAAAAAAAAAAAAAGTGCTGTTCAACTCTCGCTAACCTTTATTTGCCTCTGGTTCTGTCGCATGTTTCTCCGGCAATGAACTTTCAATGATTTATCTCGACATTGTTTTATAAATCTAAACCTGCTGCGAGATCATTTGTACCAACTTGCATTAATCTGCTGATCCATGCGCCGTTCATGTACAGATTCCAGCCAACCAGGTGAATTAGGAAATAAACAGTCTGTTTTTGTTTTGTAAGCCATCTTCCACCACATTAAGCCTCTGGTTCCTATTTTATCCAGCCTCCTGTCTGAGTTTCCAGCCGACAGAACAAGCAGACCCTCCATGACTCACGGCTCATGCCTCGTCTCGTGCACGCACACACACACATAATCGCAGTAAATGTAAGCAAACAGGCTCTAGCAGACACATCTACACCCCCACGCACACACACACACACACTGCAAAGCACACACAGCCCTGTAAAGTTGCAACGGCGGCGGACAAACACAATCACACACTCACAGAAAGTGTGTCTCTGTGTTCCCCATAGAGAGAGCCTTTCCCGGAATACCAGTCTGAGAGGTCTAGCTCGAAAATATGTCATTTCACCGCAGCTCTGAAAACAAAGCTCCATGGAATCTGCTTCGGTTCTTGTGTTTATCCTTTCTTAATACCAAGCTGATTTTTCTGGATGCCCAACAATTGCAGCAATAGAGCTGACTGACTTTTTTTTTTTTTTTTAAATGAAAGTCTTAAGTTGAACTCTTGTAGAAACCTCTCTCCTGTTCGATCTCAAAGAAAACCACAAATGTACACAGCTCTCCCCAAAATCTTGCTCATTTTACCTGGATAGCTGCCAGCTTCATTTCTCTACCAGTAAAATAAATATGGGTCATTACTACTGTTGAGGTGTCCTTGAATAACCTCATTTAGGCCCCAGAACTGCTCCAGTGTAGCTGCAGATATAACATGTTGTGTACTGCACGGCTTCTGTGTGCACACAAATAGAAAAAAATAGAAACATTTCAGGTGTGCATGCATGACCCTGGCTTGACTTTTTAAAGGCACATGCGGGAAGTCCATTTAATCACCTGTTATTACTGCATGATGGGAAATGGTGTTCATTTCAGGCCAGCCACAGCTTAATTAAAGAAGCCAGTCATCAGTGAGAGTCAAAAAACTCTTTCAGTTTGTGTGTATATGTGTGTGTGTGCGAGTGTGTGTTTTGTTGGGTGGGCAGGGTTATAAAAGTATTACTCAAGCTGCGCACATCTTGCTTAAATTAAAGCTGTGGTCACTTTGCGCAACCCTATGGAACTCTGGGTAAACAGGAGCTTTGTAGATGGCACAGTTCACACTGACACACACACAACACTGTATGTTAAAGTGTGGTTCTGGTGGTTCACTCGCTCATCGAACACTCGCATATCTAATTCCTGCTGCCTGTGTGGTCCCCCTGAAATTTGGGGTCCAACTATCACTACTGGCTTTAATAAAACATATTTCTTGGAAGCGGTTGCACATTTCTTATTCTTTAGCTGAAACCAATCCTCTGTTGTAGGTTGTGTTGAGATTGTTCACCTAATAATACCCCAGTTTGAGCTAACCACTGTCCCGATCAGACTGTTCTGATAATACTGCTTTTATAACTAACCATAACCACTTGGTGTTCAAGGCACAAAACATAAATACGTTTCCCGGAGATTTTTCTCTTTGGCAGTGAGTAAAGGTCTCTGTGAGAACAATACAAGTTCAACCATGTGACAGTAAAACTTTCCATTTAAACCGACATGAATTTCATTGTGTTGTTCTTGGTCGCTAGTTCCACCTATTCTGCGGGAACAGAACGCTGCTGTGTAGTATATCAACTCATGTATGGGTATGACCCTGTGGCAATACAGTGGTGACTGCCTACACAAACAGAGAACACAGAGTCCACCTGGCAAACACAACTGTGGTCCCACAGTCTTTGTAATGAGCCGTTATCCTCAAAGCACACAACCACTGTGCATTCAGGTTTCACTGACAATGTTGAGTGGTCGGAGCAAAAATATCCAGGAAATATTCAGTGCCATAGCATCTTTGTGTTGCCCCTAGAGACTCTAAAACAGCCTGACCTTCTGGGAATCTGTACACAGATGTATGGAGGCCCATTGCTGCCATGAAAAAAGACTGGTTGAAAAGTTTGGTAATAATAAAATAAAAACACAAATGGCGATACTGCAGAGCTGCTCCAAGGTTCATGGCTAGTTTCTTTTTGTGTTCTCACGCAATACTTTTCTTCCTGTATTACTTCTAGGCCAGTGGTTTCCAACTGGTGGGTCGCAGGTCCAATGGAGTGGACCGCAATTGACTCGCTAACCTGTCAGGTTTGTGAAAAACACACTTTATTTTGGAATACAGTGAATTTCCCACACAGAGCTTTTATTCTGAAGTGCTGTTTCCTGCTGTAGAGTGACTGACTAACGGACAGCTACTTCACAGAGACAGCAAACTCGCTCAACGACATGGCGAAACGCAACTATGATGCTTAAGACATTAAACTGTGCGGACCTTCAACTAAGGAGAACCGTCCAGTCACATGGGTCATCGTGTGACACCCCAGTATGGATTAGCTGGGAATTCACACATAGATGTATGGAAGCCAATTTCCGCTATACAAAATAAAACAAAAATCAAACAAAAATAAACATCATTTGATTGAAAAAAGAAAAAGAAAAACATAAATGGTAAAAAATAATGAGATACTAAATCAGAATTACAAAATCAACTTTCCAAGTCAAGATTAAGCAAAAATAAGTGTGTGCATGGGGGGTGTTCAGATGTAGCGTCTTTTGCTCGCACAAACCCATTGCTTTCAATGTAGACGCACGCTCACAACCCAAAGCGACGCCGCAGCAGCACACATTCGGTGCAACGCATTTGTTTTTTCATCCGGTGCACAGCCCCATGGACCTGCTTCTCCTTCCGGTGTTGTGTCAGATCCCGGTTCCCCCTCAGGCTGTGTCTCTCCCACTGTTTCCTACGGGGAGCTCTGCCCCGTTTGAAAGGCGAAGGAAGCCCGTATGTGGAAAGACGTTACCTCTGAGATGTAGAATGTGTATTATAGAAGAGAAACACCGCTGACTTGTATCATCAGAACAGACATGTCCTGTGATTTTCAGCCTCCTTTCATATTTAATAGAGGGGGGACAATACCTGACAGTAATATTCTCAGCTGTCAGGATGTGCCTGCTGTAAAGGGTAAATATAATCATTGAAGGCTGAAAATCACAGGACATGTCTGTTCTGATTATACAAGTCAGCAGTGTAAAGCTCAAGCATGTGGGGGCCTCCTTTCATATTTAATAGAGGGGGGATCGTATCTAAAAGTACAGCTGTCAAGATGCCCCCCGCCACAGGCCTTTGCCACCTTGGTCTCAAAAACACCCAGGGAAAACCCTGAGTAAGACAGTAAGTACTCCTAATTTTGTGTACTAAACTAAAAATATGAGTTACTAAGAATATAAAAGAAGGTTAAAATTATGAGGGAGCAAGATTTATATCTAAAAATCCTGACTTTTAATGACTTTTATTGAGATAAAGTCATTATTCTTATTTAGCACCTCATCATTTTGACCTCCTTATTATCATTTTAAATCATTATCTCATTGTGTTTTTATTTTTGTCATTCCTATTATTCAGTCATTCATTCATCTGTTTTTTTTTGTTTTCTTCTAACAAAAACTGACTGCCTTAGTTGCATTTTTGGTGCAATGCAGGGCCACGTGTCTTTGAGGCAATCAGTTATCTTTTTCTTTCACCTACCTGAGGTAAGAGTTGGTTCAGCCAGCTGACTATGGAGACTCTCAGGTGAGCACTCCAGTTCCGACTCCCCAGAAGAGAGCTTGTTTCTCCTGCTATCCCCCCAGGAAAGTCCCTGGCCTTGCTCCAGGCTCGAGGCTTCTGGGGGCTTGTCCAGGTAGAGATCTCCAACAGATGAGGAAGTCATCAAGGGACTGACCGAGGTCACTGCAGAGGTCGTACTGTTCTCTGTTGAGGTGGAGTCTGTGCTTGCCAGTCTGTATAATTCCTCCTGTTTTCCCAGCGACCTGTCAGTCAAGTGAGATTTGAACTCTGGGCTCACCTGAGACAACGGCAGGCAGAGTTCAGTGAGTGGACTGGATGGAGGGATTACAGAGGAGGTGTGGAGGAGTGGAGGAGAGAGGGAGACAAGAGATGCAACACCCGTCTCGCACTTGGATAAAACCATCTTTTCTTGATTTCCATCACCCTTTTCTCCACCACTGTCTGCCCTTACACTCTCACTTTTCTCCTCTTTCCCACTCTCATCTCCATCCAGCCCTCCACATGAGCAGGTCCCTGGAGTCCCGGGGCTGACAGCCTGGCTACAGTCCTCATTCTCCCCTACTTCCAACGGCTCGCGGACGGGAATGACACACACGCAAGAGCCTGCCAAAAGGGGCGATGCACTCACAACTTCGTCTTCCTCTGACACCTCCTGAGGTTCTCCAGACCCTTTGCTCTGGTCCTCCATCATCGTCTTCCCCTTCGTCCCTTCTTTCTCTGTCATTTCCCCCGTGAAGGGTAGTGACACCTTGACATCGGGACCAGAGGTGGGGAAGGTGCATGGGAGCTCATCAGCAGGGCTGTGGGGTGCTTGGCAAATGAGTTTGGTTGTCTCACATGGTGTACATTTGGGGCCTCCAGGGCCTCCTCCCGCTGCACTGTGGTAAAGAGGGGCCAGCGTCTCCTGGAACAACAGAAAAAGAAAGGAGCATTGTAAACAGGGAGGGAGACAGACGTTGTAAACAATTAGAGCTCAGCACAAACGTAGGAGAGTCCAGAGGCATGCTCTCCCAGGGAGGTTTTTTCCCATTTGTGGTGGCTATATGCGCTATTTTTAGAATGCGTAAAAATCTGTACATCATTTGGGAAAAACATGAAAAAAATCATCCTGTAGAGCCTACATCGTATTTTGTATCTAACTGTGTAAACCATCGCACACAGAAAATGTTGAGGAAGACTGAACGAAGCAAAAATTGTCTAATGTAGATGGGTCTTTGAGCCTGAATGAAACATTTAATTTGTCCCGCTTTTTATAGACATCTGCATGTAGCAGCATGTATAGTATAGTTGTGTTCTTTGTGCATCTGTATATGTTCTGCTATCATACATTGGTGTTTAAGGATGCTGTGTATAGTACAATACTTATAGGACAGGTCTTTGTGATTTGATAGTCAGGCAGCCTCTCAGAGATGATGTCATCTGATTAGTGGTACCAGCTGACTGATTCACCACACATGGTAGTAGTCTGTCTGTGTCTATATCTGTTCTGTGGAGCACTCATGTCAGTAGCACTGATGATAGTCAGGGACTGAAACGTTTGCTGCTGTTTTTATTCACTTTTTATGATTTTTTGCACCTTGAACACAGATGGTCTAAATAAATTGACTTTTTTTGTAATGATCTCAGCCTGTGAACCTTAATGAGGCTGTCTATCCCAGTTGCATTGGTGTGCACGTATCTCCTCTGCCATCCCTACTATTTTCTAAGATACATAATGGAGGTAAGGTGAGAATAAAGCAGCATTACTTTTCTTGAAATCTTTTTTTGTTTCACTATGCTGGAGTACAGTTCACAGAATGCTTAGCTGACAAATCTGCTTCGTTTAAACCTGTGCTATAATAATCTGGGTTGCAAATCAAGGAAGTTAATGTGGTCTTCAATACACTAGACTATAGGTATATATTATTATCAGAATGACACAAAGTTTAAAAGATTTTAAAAACCTAAAAGATTCTGTGCATTTAAAATAACATTTGAGACTGGAGCCCAAGAAGGCACCTTCTCCGCCTCTGATTGTAAATAACTGTTATTTCAGTCAGGAATACTTTAGTCAAAGAAAACTTTATTTCCATTTGCAGTTTTAAATTTGGCGGTAAGGATCTGTTCTGGGGCCTCTCCGCCTTTCCATGTGCCTACAAGGAAAGCCTAAGGTGGAGAGAGCAAACCTCCCTGCCCTTCCATGCGCCTACATGGAAAGCCTAAGGCGGAGAGAGCAAACCTCCCTGCCCTTCCATGCGCCTACATGGAAAGCCTAAGGTGGAGAGAGCAGCACCAAAGACCCCCCCAGGAACAGAAGAGAGTAGCATCAATGACAAAGAAAGATGACACTGATAAGTCAGACACAGCATGAAAAGGAGGAGCTGGGGTGGAGGCGGGTTGCAAAGCGGCTTGCAGAGGAAGCAGCAACAGTAGGCAGGTCAGAGCAGTTTAAATAGGGTGCCGTAAATAACTTTGGTTTTGGTGCATTTTCATTGCTTTACCTGTTGTATCCTCGTCCTCTTCAGATTCTGGACACAGGATCGCAGATTTACTAGACAAAGAAACAACATATTGCACCTTAATACTGAATAAAATGTAGGAGCGGAAATCAATTGTCCTTAATCTAAATGGTGAAGATGTTCTGCAAAGAGGCTGGTGGATCCAGTTTATATAGCAAGTAAAATCTACAGAAAGATTTTTATTTTTCGTGCCACAACGTATTCGTCATGTGATCAGACAGCCTTGTCCAGCATGCACCACCTAACTGCATCAGTGCAGTCTGTTTTAAATCAATGTCCACAATGTATGGCACCTTGGAATCATAAAGTCATGTAAGGAACAATAATGAAACATCATAGCTTGAGGAGAACTTCAAGATTAATGTAGACTTTAACCTACCGGAGAGCAATTTGAGTTTGTCCTTGTAGCAGAACAGGAGCAGGATGAGTAGACACAGAACAGTGATGACTGACAGCACTGAAACTATAACCCAGGAGGGTGCTGCACCTGCAAGAAAGAGGAGTTCAGAGCTCGCTTTTCAACTCTTAATCTGCTGTCAGACATAAACATTTGCCGAAGATACAAAAAGTCATAGATATCTGTCAAAGATACGATAAATCCAACACTTTTCATATTTTTTTTCTACATTTACTGTGACATTTTCACTTCTAGGTAGCAGAAATTATATTTGCCCGAGGAAACTGTATTTTTATTTTGACTTCTGCATTAAATTAACTCTGCATGGTGACAATGAATGTGTCCATGTCTTACCAGACACTTGTGGTCCACACACTGCATCAGCCTGAGCGCTGCCTGGCTGTGTCTCACTCCTGCCCTCAGCTTTACAACTAGAAGAGAGGATGAAATCACAAAACCACAGAGTGAAGAGGAATAATGGTAAAACTGGTCATGCCATATGTTTTTCTCTTTCCCTCTACATTTTCAAGCCAACCTGCCAGCTTGTACGATTGGATCTGCAATGACGAAGGACAGAAAGAGAGAACAGATGGAGAGAAAAACTTAATTCTCTCTTCCGTTCTCTCAATTGTCATTATCATTATGGATCTGTCCGACAGTGGAAGCTGGTGTCTGGTCCAGGGTTCCAGAGGAAGTGGTGTGAGTATTACTCACTTACAGCTGGCTGGTGGTGAGGCGGACGACAACTACCCAACTGCATTTTCCCTTCACAACATCCAAAGATTCCAGGCTACAAATTGTGTGTGTGTGTGAGTGTGTTTATGTGTGTGTAGGAACACTTACTTTGTCCATTGCTTGCATTGTTCAGCAGTGTTGTCAGCAGAGAAGAAGCCTTTCTTACATGCGACACATGTCTTTCTTCCATTAGTAGACTCTGGAATTAATGACATTATAACATTATAGTTTATATTCAAGTGACACTTTGCTGTGCTTGTTTGAGGTGTGTTTTGTGTCAGGGTGTCTTACCAAGGTCCTCCTCGAGTCCATACCCAGCACTGCAGTTGGGTATCCTCTCACAGTACTCGCAGTTGATGAGGGAGCATTGGTAGCCAGGACGGCAGCGACACGGCTCCTCTGCTTCATAGTTTTCAGGCCTGTCCATAAAACCCTTACCTGGCAGTCAAAGAGGAAACTTATTTTAGTGCAATGGTAGGTCCAAATCCTCGAAAGGAATGAACAAGCTGATCTGTCTCTGTGTTGCTGCATGTGCAGAGTTTGGAGTTGGCTTTGTTACAAAGAATTAGAGATGATTCTGATAATGACACAAATTTTGGTGCAATCTACGTTTTCAGCCCAGGAGACACTTTTCTGGCGTACATCAAAATAACACACAGAGAATCCCAAAATGAACACAGAAGCACCACAAAAAATACTTTATTAAACTCTTCATCTTAACTTTTATGGAGACTGTTCAGAATCATTGCCTTAACCTTCTGGTTGTTGTAAAGGATACCTTATTATCCTCCAGAGGCCTGAACTTTGGTTTAGTTTGCATTTTTAATTTCTCCTACCTATTTAAGTATAAAAAACTAAACATAGGCAGCGACATTTAAGTCCCACTGTCCTCAAACAAGACGATAATAGAGTCCCAATGTCCTCAAATGAGATGACAATAAAGTCCCGATCTCTTCAAACGAGTACTTCCTAATTAACAGCGTCTTATATGTTGCTAAAATTGGTCAAATGTGTTGCCATATCAAACTACAAACATTATTTATCATAAATAAACAAGTTCCAACCATAAAATGTGATCAGGTTTTGGACCTTGTCCACTTTTGTGTCGGGATTGGCTGCAGACTGACTTGGCAGAGATGGCTGCCATTGTGTTTGTACATGGATTAGTGTAATGTGCTCTTACTACCACTAGATGGAATAAAAAGTGTCCACGAACGAGGACAACAGGTTTAAGTTAAGCAGAATTTAGTATAAGTAAACCCAAAATGTGATGTCCTCATGTGAGGACACAGGATCTCAGGAGGATATTTAAAGGTGTTGGATTTGTTCTCCAGTGCAAGTAAAGGGGTCTACAAAATATTTGGACACAAAAATTTGGAATTTCAACATCTGTATTGTAAAATTATTGTATTATTAAGCATAAGCTGCCAAACCTTCTAAACGTTTTTTTTATAGGATTTCAAAGTCCTTGTTCAAGCTGCAGGTACTGACCTGGGTCACAGAACTTCTGCTGAAGACAGCGTGACTTGTCAGTCCACCCAGGCTGGTATTCACCACGGCTACATTTGACACATTTAGTCTCGTGGGAATCAGTGCAGTCGTCAAAAACACGGAAGCCTAACCAAAACAAAAAAAGAGAAAGAGAAAGAGAGAAAGACACAGTGGGAGGAAGAAAGACAGATGGAGTTAACAACCCGTACATAATCACAGTAACCACTAAAAACCTAATGGAAGGAGAGAAAAGACGAAGGAAATTGACAAAATTAGAGCCCTTTTCCTTTTTTAAATAAGTGGGCACTTGAAGTGGATCAAATGTCGACAAAAACTAAATGTGTGTGTGTGTGTGTGTGTGTGTGTGTGTGTGTGTGTGTGTGTGGTTGTGAGAACACATGTGCATGTCCAAGCTATTATGAGCCGAAATGTTCCGTTTTTAAACATCCTTCCTCTTTTGATTCAGGATCCATCGGAAATCTATTTTTATTTTTATGCTGCAGTGCTTCCATTGAGAATACACTGAGATACGTAAAGTGCTCACTTAGCAGTATTTTCTTGTGTTCTACTTTGTTGTTCAGTGTGTGTGTGTGTGTGTGTGTTTGCATTACCTGGTTTACACTTCTTGCAGCATCTGGAGCCCTTTAAATAATGTGTCTCATCACACTGGAGAGATTTGGAGATCACATTCTAAAAAATATAAAGACACAAATTTACTTTTCCGTTATTTTATAAACTATGTCAATAAAAAACTTGAGAACTATCAGTCTTTCGATAGGTCACCAAATAATATCTGATTTTCCATGCCACGCTCTCCTATGGCAATCCTCCTGCTGCTTCAGTCCATCTTCCACATCCACACTTTATATTTTGAGATGGCGGTGAGTAATGAGAGGAAGACGATGGTTAAAACGTTTCCAAGACATGCCCAGGAATTCTTTCCACACTCTCAGAAGCACCTGACCACAGCACTGCACGGCCTCCAAACCAGCAAACCAATGGCAACCAGTTGCATAAGGAGAACCAACTGGAACTAAATGCAATCACCTCCAGTTGGCTGGGAATTAATAAACACTTGGCTGCAGATATTCTCCTGATCACCAGTAGTGAGCTCTTAAAACAAAATTACCATGTTCTTGGCAGGACTGATCAAATTGCCCGTTAAGTAAATGGTGATAATAAAACATTTTATGAGTAAGTTCATTCCTAAAAGTCTTCTATTGTGACTTGCTACTTCTAATCCGTCTTCTATGATTTCAAACTGTAAGCTATAGCATTAGCAGGGAGTGCCAAGCTGACAGTGAAACATCTGTGCATGTTTTAAAGGAACAGTGTGCATGATTTGGGGGGATTTAGTGGCATCTAGTGGTGAGGACTGCAAGTTGCAACCAGCTGAACCTTGGAATCTTTCAGTGTTCTTTGTTTAGGAGGTTTTAACCAGGAGCGAAATCATCCACAGAGGTCTCTTCCTCTCAGAAACAAACAGTGCGTAAGATCCATACTAAAAAGGTACACATGAACAAAAGCCAAATGCGCCAAAAAGTATTTGACAACATCTACAATCACGCCTCCACCTCACTGTCTGCATCACCAATTTCCCGTATCCAAAATGTTCGTAAGCATGGGTCAAGACTATTTTTATAGATTGCAACTTTTGCGCTGGGAAGTGGCAAACTCTTTCGGGCCTCGTTTTGTGCGTACACAAACCAGGGAAAACACTGACTAAAGCCATTTCACACTACAAACCAGTGTTTCTCTGCTGCTGTTCAGTATGGTGGAGACAGGCCGACGTATTCTCACTTTATTCTCTGATAACTTAAGATCCAGAACTTCAGGAGGTTTTTAGCAGGGGCCAAATTAAATGAAGAGGTCTCTTCCTCTTGAAAAGACATAGACCAGGTGATTTAAACTGGAGAAACTCTGAGTAAAACAGTTTCATGTAAAAAAAAGAATCTGGGTTTTTACAATGATGCTAATCACAGAGGGGTTGCTAACTGTGGTGGCCGATGCAAAAATGCAAATAGCCCGGTCTAGAGCCAGTGTTTGGTTTGTCTGTTCTGGGCTACTGTAGAAACATGGCAATGCAACTTGGCAATTTCGTATTCTTATTTTCAGGTGATTATACACCAAAAAAACATACTTATTATATTATATTCCATTTCTGCCAATATATCTCCCTAAATCCGACACACTGGACCTTTAAGTAATGTTGAGGATAAGAAGAAATCTTGAAGTGAGTTCATTCCTTTAAGTCTTCCACTCTAACTTGCTATAATCGTAAGTCTTTTTCTCTCATTCAACCCTGTAAGTCATAGCTTTAGCATGAAGCACTAGAACTCTTGTTCCAAGCAGCGTGTAAGTAAACAGTGAAACATCTGTGCATGTTTTAAACAATAAGTGGGAACACAAAGGTAAGCCGTGTACGCTCTCACCCACCGTACACAACCTCCAGCCAAAATGAGGGTGGCTGGAGGTTGTGCCACATTGCTGAATTAGAGAATCTGGCTGTTATGACAGAAACTACGCCAAAGCCACAGCGTCTATATATAAATGTAGAAAAATACAACCTATAGGCCTGACTGCACTCTGACCTCGGACCAGCCTCCTTCTTTTTCTCATTCAGCCCTTCTGAAGGCTTCTTTTTCCCATGAAATTATACACCGGTTCAATCATTCACACTGTAATTTGTACAGTTAAAAAACTGCTGGTGCTGCATTCATCCAGTTTAGTGAAATCTGACAAGCCAATCCTCCTGCTCACCCCATAGGCGACATTCATGAGTCTCTGTCATCATATTAACTTTTCTTTCTCACACTGCATCTGTCTGTAACTCAAATGTCAGCCTTTCTAAAATAACTTTCATAGTTTCATGTTAAAATCTTACACAGTAACATCAGTTTGGATCAAAAATAATGTGATATAACTCGTCTTCCACACCCTCTCCCTTGTTATTTCTTCCCCTCTCTTTCTCACACCTCCATGTTAAACTCTGTTTAGTCTCAGTGCATGTCTGTCCGTCCTCAAGCTACAACAGCACAACATGAAGCTGGCACGCTTTTAATTACCTCCACCAAGCTTCTCACACATCAGCCAGGCTTTGTTTTAGACTCTAACCAGGGGGATAATGATGCACAGCGCCTATAGCTCGGACCGCAGCGCTAATGAGGACCATGTGCTGCAGCAGACTGATGTGACAGGAGTGGGGAAGGTTCCCATGCTAGCAAAAGGTTCATGTTTGTGTAGATGGATAGGTAGATAGAGATGTGGAGAGACAAAAGCCAGTGGTGGTCAATCTGTACAGCTGGGCCAGGGTGCACAGGAAGCCAAAAGTATGCTGGGAATTGTATTTTTGCTACCGCCACATCTAAACATTGGGTCTCAGTTATGCATGGCAGTAGCTTTGACTCACTAAGTATATATGTAAGAGGAAAAGAGCTTATCCACCCTATATGATTATAGGCTATCATGACGGTCAAGATAGAACGTCCAACCTCAAAGCTAACTTTATCTGCTCTAATGGATTCAAATATACGCTTATGTTTGAGTGTGTGTGAGAAAAGAAAGAGATGGGTGAGTGAAAAGGAGAAATAGTCATGTAGATGGATGGAGTGGGGGACATTAAAGGTACAGTTGGTAACTTTTCTAAAAAAAAAAAAAAATGTACTGAAACTTTCATTATATTCACACAGCACTAAAATGAGACTGATGATCTATTGCCTGGCAGCACTTCAGAGTCAAAGAGTCTCTAAGGGGCCGTACACATGCCGCATTTTTTGTGCCCTCAAATTCATTGGTTTCAATGTAGACGTGCGGCAGGCTCTCTAAAACACCAAAGCGATAATGGGGTGGTGCACATGTGTTCCTGAGTGCCTATTTTTCAGGGCGATACAGCTGTGCCAACACACTTATAAACAGTACCTGGAAGAAGATCAGCTCTGCACTAAGGATTTCAGGTAAATAGGTTCTGATAAGGTACTTTTTAAAGTTGCTTAGCAACCTCAGACGCAACCTGCTGCCGCACTCTTGAGAGCTGGCACAAAAAAGGCACAAAAGTAGCACCCAAAGCCTGACCTTGCATGTTCCAGGTGGTTAAAGACACGGCATGTGTATGGCCTTGAATGCAGCTGTCAATCATATCAATCACGGCGTGTCAACTGTTGAACTAGGCAGGGCTGATCAAATATGAATCAAGATTCTGTGACTGCATTACATATTTCTGGCCTTAAATGTTTTCAGAAATATGTTTTAGTGCACTGTTTAGCTGTAAAATGAGATAGTTTGTGGCCCAGCCACAGTGTAGCATACAGTTAAATTGAGTACCAAGCTCCGCCCACCAGCCCGACCAACATTCTACAGCTAAACAGTACACTAAAATATGTTTCTGAAAACATCTGAGGTGAGAAATAGGCAATGCAGCAACCGAATCTTGATACTTTTTGATCAGTGCTGACTAGTTTGACAGTCTGACCACAATTCATGGAGTGACTGACATGACTGACTGGTTAGAGACTCCTTGGCTATGACTGGTTCTTGCTGACTGTGGTGTCTTTCTAGCAAATGCCATTAGAAGCTGTAGGAGGGGAGGAGGGTCATAATTTTATTTCACAGACTATCCGTCTCGTGTATTTCTTTCAGAATATAAAGACAGTTTCAGCTAATTGTGTCCTGTTGCCCCGGTGATACTCTTTTTACTACCCTTTTTATAGTCTCTTTCTTCCTGTGTTTATCTTTTAAATAATTCTTTACCAGTTGTGTTATCAAACAGTGTGATGCAGAGTGCATTCCATTTGCTGTCAGAGCACCAGAGAATTTGCATAACGGCCACTGCAGCCATTGGCACCATGCCAAGAGAAGCACAGCATGACTTTATCCAGTATCACCTTATCCACAATAAGGTGTTGTAAAAGCATAATGCACAATTGAATCTTTGTACAATGTGTGTGCCTGTGATTAATTCTTTATAAGTCATAAAAACAAACCTTTGAAGTGCCACCTGCTGAAATCAGGATTCTTGAATCCTCCCGCAAAACAAGCCCCTCAAAACCTGAACCATATGAGCACCTAAAAGACTTAGTGGATTATTGCTCAAGGAATAATCCAACACAGTTTGCTTTGTCTTATCTTAAAAAACATTTTGTGATTTTCTTGCTACCCAGTCAATAAAACTGGGCGTCAAGTGACAGGCACTGAGGGCTTTTAAAGGGGGAAAATCATCTGGTGCACATGAAATGACACTTTTAGAACTGCAGCAGGAAAGAGTGGCTTAAAACAAAAGAAGAGCAGTGAAACCCTCAAGGAACTCAACAACCGCAGAAGAACAGATAACTGCAAAAAGTTGGAAAACAAGTCCCTTGACAGCCATAATCTTTGCTAACTGTTTTGGACTGAACTCGACGGATCTTAATCGGGGTGTGTTAGAGACGTACTAAAAGGTCCTTAAACAATTTTAATTCCTCCTACTACCTTCAAACAAAGCTCTATTGTTACACAAGACTGTACGCTTTATTTATCAATTGAATGTCTCTGTTGTCTGTGTAGTTAAATCATGTTTGGCTCTGCAGGCCTGAGGCAATGTGCAGGTATTGCTCAACCTGAGGTAGACATAACACTGGTTACTGGATGGATGGATGGATGGATGGATGGATGAAAAAAGCATGCAATAAAGAAAATGATTAAAATTAAGAAGGATTGTTGGTTGAGTATCAGATGTAGGGAGTCAGGAGAGGCAGTGAGAGGGTGCTGATGGATGACTGAATGACAGAAAGATGGTCAGCTGAATGAATGCAGGGATGGCTACAGGAGCCGGCTATTAAAAAGTACAGGAGTCATGCCGCCAGACAGGCAAATTAATCTACCAAAGCTCGGCTTATTCATGATGTATTGACTTTAAAGCTCTCCACATCTTGAAGTAATCTTGTGTTGCTCAATGTCACACAGACAGTTTGAAATTAATTTGGAATGGATTGGATGAAGCGGTTGAAAACCAAGAAATGAAGGGGATTTCTTTTGGGGATACTGTGAGTCAGTAATGGCAAGACCATGGTGAGAACAAACCAAAGCCAAAGGTTTGCAGTGTCACCTTCAAACATAAATGAGAAATATTTCCTTCCTCTCCACACGCTGACTCGACTTCCAGGCATTGCAACTCTTGTTGCCACTACTTGATCAAATTGCATTTGACACCATCTTTCATCATTACTTCTGTGGAACTCAGCATGGACAAGACGCGGTGGTGGTGGTGGTGCCCTCCCTGAGCATTATCTCTTGCAACATATTTTGGTGAAGCAGGGAAGAAAAGCAGGCAAGAACAAGCGTCTGTTCCAGTCAAAGGCATAACCATGCTGGCTTACGGTAACACAGGCAAACAGGCAGTGAGAGATCACTGGTGCCCGGCAGTCCCACCACTACAACCACATCTCATAAACTCCTCCACCTGGACGGAGTTAAATCCTTGGACTAAACAACAACATGGACAACTTGTCATGGGCCATTCACTTTTTTCCTCAAATAAAACTGTGGCAGAGCATCAGCTGAGACATTACAGCTATTATAATGTCAAGATACTGAGAAAGTCAGTAGGCAACAAAAACCGATGGTTTGCATTAACTGCATATGAAGATAGTGACAGTGAAACATAATATAAACACACTGTCAAACCCTAGAGTATTTTAGTGGTGGTGGCTACCCTTCTGGTTCTCTGCATGACCCCTGTTGGACTCTGCTCCTCACTTTGGAAACCTCTCCTCTGGCAGACCTAATGAGGTTCCTGATGAGCCATTTGGCCAGCACCGGTTCCCTCTGGACCCGGAGAGAATGCTTGGTAAAGGGAGCAGAGGATCCAGTTGCCAGCGGCGTTTTTGCGGTCAGAACAGGGGAGGTGGACTCGACCCAAACACAACTGTTTCCAGTCAGTGTCCGGGCGTAAAAATTCAACCCTCGCCCCCCTCCTTCTCCCTCTGACTAGTTCACAGAAATCATCTAAAGTGATGACACATATTCTGGTTAACTGTTACATACCTCCTTGTGTATCTGCTCACGAAAAATAAAAACACCACTGTTGTTATACGCTTATTTTGCATCGCTGCTCATTCGAATAAAACATGACAGCCCTTAAAAATGGTGCACAGGAGACAGAGTTTACATTAAAGTACTTACCAATTCTTTTAACTATTAGATGCACTCCCTAATTCTGTCATCACAGAAATTAAAACCTTCTTTTCAGTACCAGAAGTGTGTTTTTACCTGTGCGTAAAAGGTGACGAGGACGCATGTTATCCAGCCTCGGACTATCCAACTTGTAGAAAAGTTCAATCTCATCTCTGCTGCTTGATGAAGGCAACTTCTGAGGCAAACTTTTTCTTTCTCGGCCAATATAAAGCCTCTTAACACCAAGATCCGATTCTTCCTCTTCCGATGTCCTCACAGTAAATCACTTCTTCTTGTGTGCGTAAATGTGGCGGAGCCTCCACACCGTCTCACAGGGCATTCTTGCGCCTTCATTCCCGGTTAGGCAGCTGCAGTTCCCACCTTCCTTCTCCTCTCATCTTCCTTCTGCTTTCACCCACGCGTTGTGGAGGGAGCTGCATGCAACAGCTTGTAAAAACTGACTGAGTGACTGAGGGAACTCCTCCCACGTTGTCATATGTTAAAAAAATGTTCAACCCCCGTCTTGCCTCCTGGCTCTATACGCACGCATCTCTCTCTGAGTGTGTGTGTGCGTGTGATAGTTATAAGTGTGCCTGATTGCTGTCAGTGATGTAAGATTATCACGAACCTTGATACACTAACCAACTTCAGTGTTGAGCTGTCCAGCACCCTGCACTCCCACGGGCCTGCACAACTAATTTAGAAAGAGATCATCAAGTGAAACTTTTCATGTGATTGACCAAAGAAGTTGCGATATGACGTCATGCCACAGAGCCATATCGATGACCCCTTACACTGGAGGCAAAGCATGTGGTCACTTCCATAGATCTCACTTCCTGTATTTGCCATTCATCATAGAAATGAGTGGGCTGGTTGCAGCATAGTTCCTGGAGCGTGGGTCCTGGAACAGCCGTAACCATTCCTACAGTCTAAAAAAGCCATTTATTTCAAAGCATCGACTGCCTCCAGGAAACAGCTGTTCTCTGCTCCCAGGGCAGAGAGAGGAGAAAAAAAGCACTGGATTTGCATGGCAGATTAGACCCAGCCCACCTTGGCAAGTCAAGAGAGGGAAGGTTTGAGAGAGTGGAGAATATGTTCTCTTCAAGGTGACAGTTATGCAAATATTAAATTGCATGCATGGGCCCTGGATAGATAAAACAGGGTTGATCGGCACAGAGGCGAGGTAAACAAGGAAAAAAAGAGATGTAAAGAGATGAAGCAATCATCATGCCTTGATAAGAGTTATAAAACTGGACAGAGGAAAAATCGTTCAGATATCTGTGTTAATGTGCAGCACTCATTGTTGCACAACTGATATTCCAGATTTTTTTTATTCAGAAAAAAGTACACATTATCCTGTATATCCATAATTTATGACTAAAAATCAACAGTGACTGGTGTGCGGTTGAGCAGTGGCGCCCCATAGGAGGGCCATGCACCCCCTGGTACAATTACTTGCCCTCCCACTGGCTCCCCAAATAATTGGAGGCAGACATTACTGTCTTTAAGAGGTTTTGCCATGCTCATTTTTTTAAGCTTACGCAAAAGTTGGGGTATCTTGTGAAACTTTACAATCTAAGGCAGTGGTTCCCAGCTGGTCCAGTCATGGGATCCAGATTTCTCCTTAGTGACTAGTTCGAGGTCCACATGGTTTAATCTCTTCAGCATCATACTTGTGTTTGGCCATGTTGATGAGCTAGTTTGCTGTCTCTGTCAAATAGCTGTCCATTAGTCCCTCACACTACAGCAGAAAACACTTCAAAATAAAAGCTCTGTGACATGATTGCGAGTCACTTGCGGTCCATTCAGACTGGTTGGACCAGTTGGGAAGCACTCATCTTAGGCAACCATTGGTACTAGTCTCTATATACAGACTCTACATTTAGTCAATGTAGAGTCTGTAGGCAAACCCCGGAGATCTTGCCTCTGGAAGAAGAGTGGAAGAGCCCTGGTTTCCAGTTGTAGGCTGTTTGTTTGTAGTCTGCGTGATATTGACCAATCACATTTGAGCTGGCTGCAGTTGTTGCCAGGTTAAACGGTCCATCCGGTGAACTAACAAGGCGGAACATAATTGGCATCACTGCAAACTCTGAATCCATCGCAATGGTTCAGCATATTTACTTATATATAAACGGAAGTTGGAAACGGAAATTTGCCTCCCCCACCCAAATCAAACCGGAATGCCAAAAAATCGGGGGTCTACCCCCAGAGGCTGTATCGCCGTCCGCCGAATACAGCTGATGGGTTCCGAAAATGCCATTGGCACCAACCCTGTCAGCATAACTTGTTGGAAACAGGCACAATAATGCTAAAAAGTTAGGATGAATTTTAGTGAATGAACAACTGGCATGGCCATTTTCAAAGGGAAATGTTGAATTCTTACCTCATCAGAGTGAAAATGGGTTCGATGGGCACCCTTGAGTCTCCCCGACACTTGAGAAGGCTTCCATCCATCCATCCATTTTCATCTGCCCATCTAGAGCCAGGTCACGGGGGCAGCAGGCCAAGCAGAGCAACCTAGATGTCCCTCTCTCCAGCAACACTTTCCAGCTCCTCCTGGGGGACCCAAGGTGTTCCCAGGCCAGATGACATATGTAATCCCTCCAGCATGTTCTGGGTCTGCCCCGGGGCCTCCTACCAGTGGGTCATGCACGGAACACCTCCAACAAGATGCGCCCAGGAGGATCCTGATCAGATGCCCGAACCACCTCAACTGACCCCTTTCGACGCAAAGGAGCAGCGGCTCTACTCCGAGCTCCCTCTGGATGTCCGAGCTCCTTACCCTATCTCTAAGGCTGATTTTGTTCCTTACGATCAATGAACACTTTCAGACTGGAGCTGTGTATTTGTGAAAGGACAACCAGCCAATGAATCATGTACCTGTACCAGTTCTGGTCTATGCACATCAGATAAATGGTAGCATTAACTGTAAAACAAGCAACCAAAGCATATCAGTGTGCAATTCCTCAACTCTCCATATTGACAAAGCTTTCAACTAGTCTATTAACTTCAACAGCACAAGCTAATTCCTAATGGGTTTTGCTTTTTGTGTGCCACCCCAAGATTGTCAGTGGCCACACCTATAAAAAATTCCTGGGGGCACCACTGCAGTTGAGGTGTGCAGATAGATAAAGAACTTTCCAACTCATGAGAACTTCCATGAGAAAGAGAAAGAGGAAGAATAATTAGTTTTAAGCTGAGGTAATGGGCTCTGTCCACCCTCCTCATGTCTTCCCGTAAAAACATGCTGAGAGAAGCTGTTTTGTGGTGGAGCCTCTGCAGCTTGCACAGTAGCAATTAAAAGCCAGATTCGGCTCTTACAGCAAACAGAAACCTCAGCTTGACTCTAAACGCACCCCAGATATTCACACTGAAGTCAACCCCTAACAACCAAACTGAACTGGGAAACACAGAGAAGTCACTTCAAACATAGAAGTTACAATGCAGCTCGTTTTGATGTATAAAAATGTAGGCGGACTACATGCTGGTTTACAAGCATCACACTTCAAATGACCTGGGTCAGAGCACAGGCTGTAGCTCTGTAAGTATGTGGGTTTTGTTGCTTAGCATCACTTACAACAAGTCAAAGTTCATGAAGCACGACTATTACAGACAGCTCATATACACAAAAATGCGTACACATGCCATAAGCCACTGAATGGTTTCCATTAAAGTAACACACACTCGTTCCATAGAAGAAAGCAGCCACAGCCTGTTTTGGTACCATGATTTTGGAGGAAGCTTCAAGAGCTCGGCACGTTCTCCCTTAAGCACACTGAGAAGTACACAGAGCTGAAAAACATGCACATGGCCCTCGCGTACAAACAGAACAGAGCGGAATAATATCATTAAGGCTTAGCCACCATGTTCCGGTGGGTTGAGGGTTGGATCTCCGTTGCTTCTGCTTGCTTTGGAAACAGATGTGATCCGTGAGTCACCCGAGTCACCAATGTGAGTTAAGAGCTGCCCGCTGACGCCATTTTGACAGAGACAAGAAAAACGCCAGGAGAATTTTCATAATCACACACATGCACATATAGAAACACAGGCCCACACCCAGATGTGTATGCAGGTATGAGTGCTTACATGGCGACACGTTGCCATGCTCAAAGGCCAAGAAAGGGGTCTTGGCAAGTTGAAGGTTGTTTTGACACACACAAAACAAAAGAATTCACAAGGAATGCAAATCACATATCAGGCATCTATCTCTGCACACACATATCTACAGACACACAGGCGCGCCCACGAAGGAATGGGATCACACACACACACACACACACACACACAGTGCTACCGTGCCCTCCAGTTCCACCCTGTTGTGTATCAATTATTTGTCCACCTGGCCTGTTATCAGTGACAATGGTTGAATATTAGCCAGAATATGCAAATTCTGTTTTTTATCAAGAGGTGCTCGTTCACTCTGTTCAACCACTGACTGAGTGCAGCTCCATTTGCCTGCATGATCCATGTCTATTTGGACAAGACTACAGGTCAATCAGAAGTGTCCACAACATGTGGGTTATTGTAAAGGCTGATACTGCAGCCACAATTTCTGCTATTTTACTTCACTTTTTAAAAGAACGACTGCTTTTATCGCCCTGTTAAATTTCAATGAGGTCAGTCTTTTGATGATTCGGGCCAAAGTTAACCACGGTATTGATACAAAGTCATAATTTAAAGAGATAAAGTATAGATAGCATGGATTGAGAGATAAGTGCAATCTTGACGGCAGATCAGAGCTTAACTTCTGTAGTTATTTGGGGTAAGTTGCTGGGAATGTCCCTTAAGATGGACTTTGGTTTGTTGTACTAAGCAAACAATAGACCATATCAAAAGGCTGGATGTGAGGGGCAGAGACGGTGTGTGTTTGTCTGTGAAATGACTTTGTTTTACAGCCTCCGACACCTGTCGACACTTTGAGCCATAATCCAAACTCAGGACAGCAAGATGTCTGAAAGCACGCGGACATTCAATGAGACCTCCAGAGGTGCATTTAAGTACACAACTCATCTCCATCTTTTATTACACCATGACACCGATTTCAAATATACATAATGGGTACCATCCTCTTCAGTTCAGTGTATGATACAGTTATTTACTGTTTCTCTTAGAGCATATTGAAAAGGAACGTCAACCAAAAAATAGAACCAAATACCCACTTTAGAAAAAAAAAAAGTACAATTATCAGAGACACTGCAACACAGAGAGACACGATGCAACGGATAGAGAGGGAATAATTATGATCAGTGTTCTCATCAACTTCACATTGCCAAAAACGGATAAACAAAAAAAGAAATTCATCAACAGTAGTGATAACGTTCAGTATGTGTAAGACTCTGAATTAAAACATATATATATATATATTTATAATAAAGAACAAAATAGTAAAGTGAAGTGCAAATTTCTTTGGAAGCTG